AGATATTGTAATATCGGCGAGAGAACATCTTCTCCAGCCCCAATTCAATACTTTATATATATTTTGTCAGTTCGTTCTTGGCCCCGTGGTTGAAATGCAAAAATTTAAGAGGGTCGCCGCCGCCACCGCGTGTGTTATTATATTTTCGAGAGAGGAAACGACGCTCCTCGCTTTATTCACTTGTTCGCGCTTTTTCATAAACGAAGAGAAAAAGGGAGGAACGGCAAAATTGAGAGGTGCTGTCCCGGAATGGTGTTTTTCCCGGAAAATTACGCTATCGCGGAAAGTAGGCAAACGAGAAAGGAAACTGTTTAACATGACTAGCAGCAGACGGCTTCATTCGCACCAAAACTGACACACATTGAGCGTGAAAACGAAATATATAAATTGTGACAATGCTCACATTTTTCAAATTCCACACGCACTTTTTAAAACTTTAGAGATAAAAAGCTGATACAATATACCATAAGTACTATAATTATTTTGTTAATAAGTGCAAAAATAGTTTTAAACAAGAATAAGTTATTTTTTTGCAATCATTAAAAGAAACATTGAATTTAAATATGGTAAATAGTTAACGTTGAAATATTGCATGTATTAATTTGCACCGTCAAATATTTATTTAAAAATATATTTCACCACCTGATGTTTTTCCTGTGTAAACTAGAATATCAAGCGGATTTATGATATTTATTGAAAAATAAAATTAAAATATTAGTAGCAGTAAATACAATGATAATGAATCAAAGCCAATTAAAAACATAAGTAACCTAAATCTGAAAATTATTTTTATTTATAATATTTCTCAGTCTCTCAATATACGAAAATTTTGGGGAAGAAGAAGAAAAAAGGTTTAGCTCCACGTCAAAATGGAAACAATCTATTTAATCTTTTTAGTTACTTAACCCACACAGCATGAAAATCATTGCATCATTGGCATTATAACTTATTTGCATAATGAGATTCAAATCTAATTTTGATCAACGTCGCGGCAAACAAAAAATTGTATGATGCTTTAGAAAGAAATTGTTTTCCAAAGGCATTATCAAAATATTTTGCATATAAATCGCACTGCATTAATAAATAATAAAATATTCGGATTAATATCTTGCTCGGCTCTCTTCGGATAGAGAATAATAATAAGAGCGGTGGCGGCAAGAGGGTTTATTTTGCGTCGCGCTGAATAGCAAAGGGTGTCGCAGTCAATATGGTGTTTAGATAAATAAGCGGTTTAATTAGAATAACAATGGAATTAGTGTAAGGGTTTAACTGCGTGTGTACGCGGATCTAGACGTGCTTAAAATTTCTCTCTCTCCAGAGCCGCTTTTTGCAGAGAGGGAGAGTTGGCTAGGAGGGCGCGCATTGACTCCCCCAAATGAAGTTGCGGCGATACAAAGAGAGCACCAGATTGTCCCCGCTGCAATTAGAATATACCACGGCCTGGCACGCCGTGCGGCCCTCCCTTTCAGCCAACGAGACGACATCGGCCTGCTAATTACGCATCAAGAGTCCGCTGATAAGCTCAATTACCGCCACAGTTTGCAGCTGACGACCACTATACGCGAATGGCGATTCGACACAGATTTTGGTCAATAATATGAAAGAAAAAAGGCTGAAAACGACACATTTCTTACTGAAAAAATATTATCATTTCAAAAAATTAAATTTAAAATACAATATTAATGCCTAATCTTATTTGTTACAAACGAGATGATTTATATTGTAGGTAAAAAGTTGTTGAGATTGAAAATATTGTTAATAAAAATCAGCAATTAAAATATAATTATAATTCTATAATTAATGATGCGAAAGCATATAATGGAATTCTGATGATTTATAAAAAAATATAAGATAACAATTAAATTATAATTGAAGTATTTATAGTTAAAATATTATTGTTTATAATGGTTTATAACTGTAAAATGTATTTCAAACTGCAGCTTTCTGAAGAAAAAATAATAAAATTATTTTAAAAACTTTTAAAGAAATGTAGAAAAAGAAAGTGAATAATTTTTTAGAGTTTGTAAATTTTTTTTAATAAAAGGAAATTTTATTTTTTTCTCTTTAGTCTCCTTCATTTCCGAGATTAATACATTTTTTTTGTTCATAAATTTTAGAGGCAATTTTTATCGTAGCGTTTGGAGGGATTTGCAGCAACAGACCGCTGGCCCGATGTCTGCTGAGCAGACATGGGTTGATTTTACATTATTTGGGCGGTGGTGTGACGTCTATTTGCAGATAATCATGCAGACAGGGAGATAGAGTGAGTATAACAATTGATCGGCCGTATGAAGCCCCGTGGCCATCTGTCACTGACTTGATGCCATTCTCTCTGTGCCACGATCAATATATATGCGATGCGAATGTTGGCCAACACCAAGTCATCTTGGTCTGGCATGTTATTTGAATTAAAGCCGCAAAGAGATAAGTCAGACGCTGCATTTTTACACAGCCCTTGTATCTGTTTTACACGCGAAATAACGGAGAGCAGAGAGAATCGATGAAAATAAAAGTTTCCATGGTGAAAAGAAAAGTAAAAAACGACTGGCAGACAAAGCGATGGATGGACGGACGAGGAGAGTTGAGTGGAAAATATTGCTCGCCAGCCAGCTCCTTTCTCTAGAGGGGTTTTCCATTATGTTGCAGATCCTTTATTGATTGATTACGAGGATCATTTCTTCGCGAGTTGATGTTTTCAAATTATAAAAGAAGATGTAATAAAATAAATATTTCTCAGTCATTTAAAGGTGCAAATGAATAATATTACCCAAATTTTTGTTTCGCTGTTAAGATTTATTTATTTAATTCTTTGTAAAGGAAGAAAATTCTAGACTTATTTTTGAATTTAAGAAGTACAAAAAAAATTTGAATAAAATACCGAAAAACTATTTATATTTGATGTATTTGATAAAATCCATTTACAAAAATAAAAACTTAAATATTTAAAATAAAATGTTAATATTATCTTTTAATTTGTTTTTTTATTGTTTTAAACTTTATATTTTTCATATTATTTTTGTATAATAGCTTTCTCAAAATCCATAATCTCGTAGTTTAGGTTAAGCAGATTGAGTAGCCATAATAATGGTTGCCTTATGAAAGAAGACTAAGCAATCAAAGGGCCGTCCAATAATTCTGTTTGCCTAATTACAAGTAATGACCATAGCAGTCTGTTTTTCCAAGCACGTTTATTCAACAAACGTGTGTCCCGCTCTTGCAGTGCGTATAAGGAGAAAAAGATGCCAAGCGATATTGGCGCGTCGAAAGTCAATATTTGACCACTAATAATGTCTGTACATCACAAACACAAACGTGATATGGTCCAGCTCCGGACCTAATAATGCTGCCGAGGTTCACGGCGTAATTGGCCCATAAGACGCGCATTCCCCAACTTTATCAGCTCGAAATAGAGAAATACAAACATCAATATATTCGATGCAGGGGCCGCAGACGTGGAAAAATGTATATTGATTTAAATGAGATGGGGAGCGATATGATTAGGCGGCGTGCAACTGTTTAGCGATGTGTTTTATTGCCGTATTGAAAAGGAAAAACTCTTTTACGATCCAAAAGAGACCAATGCCATAACTTCTTTTTTCCTCTCGCGCGCGCCAGCTCCATCTTTCTATATGTTGATATAAATTTCCCATGGGACGCGTCTCCAAAATATGATGTGGTTATATTTTGCTCTTCCTCGCGCGCTCGCTCTCCTCGCGCTGCATCGATTGTTATATTTTTCGTGCATCCCCGCGCGAACACACTTCATACGCGGCACATTATTTTATTACACGCCTCTCGTCTTGCACCTTTTTATTAGCGCATGGAATTGCCGTCCGAGGGCCACCAAAGGGGACCTCGGTTGCGCCAATTGGACCGTTTTATTGAGGGGTGTTGAGCGCTTAGGGACAAAAATATTATAACTCTCTCGTCATGGACAAAAAAATGCTGCACTCTCTGCTTAGTAATAAATTCTTCTGTGCTTCAATGTTGTTTGTTCTGTATGAGCATGTGTCGGCAAATGATATGAATTACAAATGAAAAATCTAAAATTAACTATAGTATAAAGTTTAATTGATTTTTAAAATAAATAAGAATTGATTAAATATAATAAATACTTTTTTCAAGCATTAGATATTAAATATTTTGTTCAACTGCATTTCTTTCACTATCTTAATTACCAAGAAAAATTCTAATAAATTTGTATGCTCAGTAAAAAAATGTGATGAATTTATTGAATGACCGGAGAATAAATATTTAAATAATTTAGAAATTACGGTAGGAAGAAGAATCAATAAAACTGCCATAAGCTTCATTGTAAGCAAATCGCAAAATGTTTTAGAGCATATTTTGTAACTAAATTTCAGTCATGATATAATAATGGTGAAATACACTATTTGAAAATGAACCGTCAAGTTAAAGATCCTTAGGGTAGATGAAGAACAAAAACATAATTTGATTTTTCTGATACTTAAAAAATTCTATAGAAATCAGAAAATAAAAATAATGAATAAAAAGACTGTAACACAAGAAATAATACATAACCTATTTTAGTTAATTATAAGGAAAATTTAAATTATAAATTAATAAAAAAACTGGATAAAACTTTTAGATTAATAAATTTTAAATTTATCATGCTTATGATTACCTGTTTTATCTTAAAACTATAATTATAGTACTGAATAGATATTAGTATTTTTAATTAAGGAGCAATTTTGTCACGCGTCAATATAGACAAACACGGCATAAATCGTGGGCTGGACGAACTAAATAATTACAGGCTTACGCACGGACTTGATGTTTGCAATACGTGTTAATCTCATTAAGCGCATCCATCGCCCCTAATGGCCCTGTAGTGATGGCTCAAGCGAAAATCGCTGCACGCGGCCGCCTATCATGTGCATGTGTACACATGAGCCGTTCCGCCAAATTATATAATATAATATTTCGTCGCAAATTGGTGATTCAAGAGACCAATTCATAAATCGAAAGGTTTTACTCACTGTGAGCGCCAAGTCTGTCTCTCCAGGCCAGAGGATTGGCAACCAGACCCTGCAGTCCGGGCCAGTAAAGGGCGGGATTTGTCCGACCCAGTTGCTGATGCATGGCAGGATTGAAATACATGTTTGCAGCCGCAACCTGGACCAACAGTAATAAACAGTAATCGTTAAACCTCAGCTCAATAATATAATACAAAATTAAAAGTAAATAAATTCCTTGAAAATAAAAAAATAAATACACAAGATTAAATAGGAATTGTATGTTAAACAGGATAATCTGCACATTGATTAAAAAAAAATGGTCTCCGGGAAATTTCAATGCAGCAAAAATGTCGAAAAGAAAAATTTATGTTAAAAAAAACTGTTTTCCCGGCTTATTTAATTATTTAATATTTACATATTAAACCTGATTATTTATTTTGAAATTAATTAGTAAATATTAATATTTTTAAGCGCATACTCAAAATTGACCAATTCAAATAAAAGTACATCATTAGATTTTGAATGCCAAAAAAACTCACAGCGGCGGCGAGCCTCTGGTTGAGGGGCGGTTGGGGGTTGTGGGTGGTCTGCAGGGCCGAGGGTTTGTTGAGGATGTGCTCGATGCCGTGCGGCGTGGCCGGCAAGCGGGGACTCGAGCTGGCCGAGTTGCCCGGCGGCGGCGTCTTGCTCTCGGTCATCGAGGTGAGCGCCGTCAGGGGGCCCTGAGCCCTGCAGTTGTCCCTCAGGTCGAGCAGCATTTCTCCGTGCTCGGTGTGCATCGGCTGGCTGAGATTCATTCCATCGACGGTGCCAGCCGAGGGTGCCATGTGGCGGTCGAGGCAGCGGCACCCTCGCGGCAGGGGTGGGCGCCGCCCCCGGCCGCCTCCCATTGGCCGCGCACCGCTGGAAGGGGAAAACATGGCAATTGAGTGCTGAATAATATCCGCGCGCAACCCTCTCTTCGCGATTCGCCTGCTACTTTTGTTACTTTTATTGAGATTTAGTGGAGCAAAACAATGAGATTGTGTGCCGTGCACTCTCGATGAAGTTTAATGCGATATGCCGCTGCTTTTTGCACCGCATTATCTCTCTCTCGTGTAACTTGGCGTTCTCCGCTTTTTTTATTATATAAATACCAGAATGCACTGGGAAAAATTCATTTTTTTTTCGACTCTGCTCACTGATCTTTGGTTTAGATGAATAAATCTTCTTGCGATTATTGTGTGTGTTTTAGGAGCACGTCATAAAATTCATTCCGAGGTTTCATATTACTTTGCAGAACGGCGTGGTGATAAAATTTTACGGCCGCCAGATATTAATTTAAAGCTTCAAGGGGAGGCTTAAACGTCATTTTCAGTTTCATTTTTACGCAGCTTTTAGATTTGTATATTTTTATTCTAAAAGCTATTCAAACTTTTGCCTTTTTCCATGAAGACATTTTAGGAAATGTTTTTCAAATTGTCTTAAATATCTTTCTGGACGACACATCGATAAAGAATCATGGTATATAATTTTTTTTATGATAGTCATTGTGTTGAAGACAATTTTTTGTATTCCAAATAGACAATTTTTCCTTCTTGATTACTATTCGTTGCTATTAAAGTCTTCCGAAATCTTGATCACTGCGCACTTATTTAATTGAGGAGAAAAAATTGAAATCTTCAATGCCCATGAGCAGTCTTACCTGCAATCCATAGTTAATATACCAATAGGGAATTTTACATGAATTTTTTTTTTATAATGTAAATTTTAAATTAGCAATTTAAAAAAAATTTAATTAACAAAGATGCACTTAAAAATACATATATGTTAAATTTTGTAATTTTTGAATAGTTAAAATTACATATTTAATAACAAAAAATAATCCTATATAATTATGTATTTTGATTGCTATTTTAAAAATGTAAGAAGTGTTGCATGATATAATTTGAAATTTTTACTATCAAAATTACTAAAACAAATACATAATTCTTTAATTGTAAATTAATTTCAGTTCACTCTGCGGTAAATGAATGTATTATCTTCTATTATTTAAAGCAGAATTGATTTTCTAAAAAAAAATCTTAATTGGCGATATGAAGAAAAAATATTTTTAGATAGATAAAAAATATTTTTATTTCACATATTTCCATTGTTATTGATTGACTTGCTACTCGCTTTTTAAAGCCTTCTGCAGAAAGTGCGAGGCTGGTGGCCGGCGGCGGCAGGCAATAATTTTTAATAATAAAGTTTGGATGAGACAGGCTCTTTCCAGCGGCAGGGGCGCAATATTCACTGTGCTTAACACGAGAAGTTTGATAGTCAATATCATCTCACAAAATAAATGATGATGCCTCCACCGCCTCCTACTCTCTCTCGCTCGGTCCTCCTCGGCACCGTGTTAACAAAGTTTGCAGCGCAGCAGCCGCCGCCGCTGAGAGAGTTATACATGCGGAGGCGCGCAGCTCTTATAAGGGAAAAGGGGCTGCTCTTGTTACACCCCTTGTTTTCCCCATCAAAAGAGCAGGCCGCAATAACGACCCCTGCGAGGCTGCGCTGTAATCAGACATTTCATTACAGTGATGAGCGTTAAATTAATCTTACTCTGCGCGCCACACACAAAGCAACCCCCTCAATAACACCCTGCCCACCCCAAAGTCATGCGCGCGCCATGCAAAAATGTTCAGCCTCGCTCTCGGAGAGCGCCATGTGAATTGAGATTTCAATTTGCATTTCGGGCTGGGGAATCGAGGGGCGCTTAATTAACTGCTAAAGCCCGCGGCAATTGTTTTCGTGTTGTTGCTGATTTTAATGCTGATGCGCTGCTTCTCTGCATGGCACTAATTCAATTTCGCGCCGAGAGCGAAGGATTTGCGCCCAGATTTGCAGCACAAATCTATCGCGTGCCTCCGAGTATAATTACTCGCCTCGTAATTTGAAGGCACTTGTGTTTTAAGACTTGCTTTGACACGTCGGATTAACTCCAGAGGGCTTCCAAATAAACAGAGAAAAATGGATTTTTTTTTTTTAATTCATTTAATGTAGATTTTTTTTTTCAAATTTCAATAATTGAAAGCATATTCGTCTTTGCCATTTTTTAATTTATGCTGATTTCAATTATTCATCATTATGATTTTAATATGTATCTTTAAATTTTCATTTGACCATATAATGCATGCAAGATGGAGAATTTTCAGTCACTTCCTCTCTCTCGCTAATGTTCATGAAGTCCCCTTCATCTTCAAAACTCTATATCATGTGCGTCACTCGTACGGCAAATATAAATTTAAACGGAAATTATCTTAAGCCTCCTACATAAGCAGACACGCATATTTATCCAAATAAAAGAGATGGAAAGAGCTTCTGAAAGACGCTCGGCATCCCCATCATTAATACCGGCCCGCTCGTAAAAAGGAGCATTTTCTCCTGGGCGTGATGTGAAGAAATAATTTATTTAATAGTCTGCTCAACAGCCACGTCCACAGAACTGGGGTTTATATTTAACGCGGGCGGCGATAAATAATTCATTTGTAATCCTAATTGATGCAGTCAAATCAGAGGGAAAATAAAACCGAGGGCTTTATGGCTTTATAGCCGCGCGTCAGCTTTCTCTTTTCGCCCAGGCAGGTTATTCGAAATACGGAGTACAATGCATTCCAGGGTGTACTTCTTGGGTGCATTGTGAGCCGCGAGTGAAAAAAGAGCCAGGCGTCGAGCAGTCTGTGAGCCAAAGGAACAAAACCTTTGTACGCTGCCTCCATTCATTCTTTCATTCATTTTCCACCGCGCGTCCTTGCTTCCTCTTGCAGGGTCGTAAAAGCAGGTGGTCGTATAAGAATATATTACAATTCCGTACATCACACCGACTTTTCGGTGTAGAGACGAGTAAAATACCATAATACCTGATGCAGCCAGTCAGAGAGAATTGCCTTCCTTTGTTTGGTCCAGAAAAGAAAAAAAATGAGAAGCTCAAAAGGTGCGCGAAACTGCAACTAATTTTGACCTCCAATGAAAAACTAAAAAAGAACAGATGCAAAAAAGACTCCCTCGATTCTTTTGTACTTTTCAATTTAAATTCAGTGGAAGCTTAATGCCCTTTTATACAGAATGCAGTTCTTGCTTTTTTTAATATTTCGAAACTAATGAAAAAATATATTTTCTAGATAATGTTGTATAGTTGAAAAGTTTAAAAACGTTTGGATAGCACATTATTCTTAGGAGTTTGGTAGTACCCAAATTTAGAACGATTTAGTTATCATCATCTAATTATACATTTAATATTCCAGTTATGTTGCAATACTTTTATTTGAAGAGACAGAAAATTTAAAAAAATTAATCCAAAACAGTTTGTATCATTTTGTTTGTTTTAATTTTTGAAATTTTTTTGGAAAAGATTAAACATAAAAAATAAACACATTTAAAAAATTACAAAAAATATAAATAAAGTAAAAAATTAAATATTACAATGATTTAGTTTAATTTTTTTTGTAAAGATATTTTTTATTTACTTTGCTTATGTTATGTATTACATTATGTAATTTAAAATAATTTTTTTTGCACAATAATAAAAATAAATACCGTAAATTTATAATTAAAGAACTAACTATTATACATATTTTAGAATCATTCAAATAACTTTATTTCAATTATTTTAAGGAAATAATTTCTGGCAAGTAAATATTCTTTGTTGAAAGTTGAAATCATGTTTTTCATGATGAATATCTCTTAAGGAATTTTGTCATAAAATCACATCGTTAAAAAGTATTGGAATATTTTTGTAAAGTGAAACGGACAACTTCATTCAATCGTCAGGGGTGATTCACACAGACAGGAATTTCATCTCACAGCTCGTCAAAATCGGCCTAAAAAAGCAAAAGTCAAAAATCTGTATTGACGAGATTGCCTATGCGGGTGAAAAACGCGGCGTTTCGCGCGTGAATGCACCTGTGCAAAGTCACACGCTGCGCTCGTTGCGTCCAACAATGGGCCAACGTGAAATCTCACTTCCACGTATGTCGCATTCTTTGTGCAGTCTATGAAATTTGAATGGCCGGCGGAATTTCCTGCCCCAATGTCCATTATACGCGCGACACTCAATGAACGCACAATATCATCCGAGGAGCGCTTTTTTCTCCGCTCTTCTCCGCGACGCTGCCATGATAATGAGGCAATAAAAATAACACACCTCACAACGGAAGTGACACCCAGCACCGTCAGGTAAAAGGTAAAAAGATCCCTCCGGTATTCACACTTGCTACCTTTGTGCCGCATCCAGAGCAAATATATATTCCCATGAATGAATGAGAAGCCGATTTTCTAGCCTGTGAGTCAGAAAGTCTCAGGCGAAGCACAAAAGCGTTGGAATTTTTTGTGAAAACACACCTCTTCCGCGGCTTGGGAGGTATCACGGCTCCTCAAACAAGCCGAAATATTTATTTTCTTTCATATCTGTAATAATTCCGCTTTTGAAATCAAAGCGAAGAGATTATAAATATATTCAGCTTATTTTGGTGCAATTTTTATTTAGGCAATCTTTGTAAATGCATGCAGCCCTTACAAATCAATTATGTATAGCAATATAAAACTTTATTTATAAACGTTAATCAATATTTTAAGCCTGCGTAGTGTATTTTAATTTTAACTGGAAATTAAATTGTTAATTTATATATAATAAACAAATTATAAAAATCCAATTCACAAGCTTAATCTTCATTATTTTTTTTTATTTTTTTATTTTTAAATTTTCCTTTGATAAGAGACTCTGAACTTTTGTATCAAAATATTGAAATCCTGTTCATA